CACTGAGGGTTGCGATCCGTTGCCGGTCACGAAAAAAAGACAAAAAGGAAAAAAAAATTTAAAAATTTAAAAATAAATAAATAAATAAAACATTATGCTTTCCTAGAAAGTTAAATATGCAAAGGTCAAATGACTGACTTACACATTATGAGTGGGATTCCCTTTCTAGAGTATTCACAGTGTATATCTGTCTTTTTCCACATTGACAATATATTTCCAGCATTTTACACTTGTTCTTTAATGTGTTTTTCTTTATAGTTGAGCATACAGTTCACAGGTTTAAGTTAATCTTCTGGTGAAGCTAAACAGTCTTACCTGCCAATTTTCATCTTTTTTTAATTTTCAACTTTGTATTGTTTATGAGATCTAACCATCTTGTCAGTATGATCAGCTTAATTTTTCCCTTTCTGTCTTCATTTTATTAATTGATGGCACAATGCAATAAAACTTCAGATATTTAAAGTGCAATAAAATATTCAACTTCTCCAACACCGCTGTGTAGTCACACTCACACACACATACACACACACCATTACCACCAACAAAAACAAAAATAACAAGTTGAAATGTTGCCTGGCAGTTGGGTGGCTCAAAATGTTTATCAGCTAGTGTACCCAAGTTAAACCAAGGCAGCAATTTGGAAATATTAGTGTACAGTGTACTGTGGGAAAAGAAGGATGACATTGAAACATACAAAAGTTGAAAACCATGAATATTTGGAATCAGAATTTTAGAAACTTGGACTTTTTTTTTTTTTTTTTACATATGTGTCTTCTCTACTAAACAGTGGAGGCCACAACCCAAGTTATGCACATCTTTACGTCCGTCACATTTTCATGCTCAACAACATACTGGGAACTTGAGAATTAGCTGAATTGAGTTATTCAAGGTCTCATAGATAATTCGACAGACTAGAAAATTATTCATAAAAGTTATAGCATAATAAAACATATACACATAGTCTCGGACACTAGTCCCTTCATTCTAGCTCTTATTATAACTACAAATAAAATTGTGTTTCACAAGTTGTGTTGCCTTAGGCACCAAATAGCCAAAGCAATCTTGAGCAAAAATAACAAAGCTGGAGGCATCACACGACCTGATCTCAAAATATACTACAAAGCTATAGGTAATCAAATTAGCATGATACTGGCACAAAAACAGACATACAGACCAATGGAACAGAATAGAGAGCCCAGAAATAAATCCACACTTATATGTTCAAATGATTTTTGACAAAGGTCTCAATGGGAAATGGACAGTCTCTTCAATAAATCACGTTGAGAAAACTGTATATCCACATGCAGAAGAATGAAACTGGACTCTTATCTCATACTGTGTTAAAAAATCAATTCAAAATTAATTAAAAACAAATATAAGACCAGAAACTGTAAAAGTACTAGAAGAAAAAATAAAGGAATCGTTTCTTGGCATTAGACTTGGCAAAGATTTTTTGGATATAACCCCAAAAGTATAAGCAACAAAAGCAAAAATAAACAAATAGGATTGCTTCAAACTGAAAATCTTTTGCATAGCAAAGGAAACCATCAACAGAGTGAAGAGACAACTTATGGAATGGGAGAAAATATTTGCAAACCATACATCTGATAAGAGATTAATATCCAAAATATATAAAGAACTTAAGTCAATAGCAAGAAAACAAATAAACCAATTAAAAAATGGGCAATTGATCTGAGTAGGTATTTTTCAAAAGAACAAATAACTGCCCAACAAGTATGTGAAAAAATGTTCAATATTACTAATCATCAAGGAAATTAAAAATTAAAACCAAAATGGGATGTCACCTCACAGCTGTAAGAATGTCTGTTATCAAAAAGACAAAATATAACAAGTGTTAGCTAAATGTGGAGGAAAGAAAACCTTTGCACACTGTTGGTGGGAATGTAAATTAGTAAAGTCATTATGGAAAACAGTATGGAGTTTTCTCAAAACATTAAAAATAGAACTACCATGTGATGCAGCAGTCCCACTTCCAGGTATATATCCAAAAGAAATTAAATCAATATGTCAGAGAGCTATCCGCACTCTAATATTCATTGCAGCATTTTTCACAATAGCTAAGATATGGAATCAACCTGTGTCCATCAACAGGTAAATGGATGAAAATGAAATGTATGCAGTGTGTAATACACACACACACACACACACACAATGGAACACTATTCAGCCTTTTAAAAAGAAGGAAATCCTGTCATTTGTGATAACATGGATGAACCCAGAGGACATTATGCTAAGTGCAATAAGCCAGGCACAGGAAGACAAATACGAATACTGCCTGATCTCACTTAAATGTGGAATCTGAAAAAGCTGAACTCATGGAGGCAGAGTAGAATGGAGGTTTCTGGGATGCAGGGGGTGGAGAGTGGGGGGGTGGGGGTGCAGGACAGGGGGAAAGGGGAGATGCTGCTCAAAGCGTACAAAGCTTCAGTTAGACAGGATGAATAAGTTCTGGAGACCTACTGTGTAGCATGCTGACTATATTTAATAATAGTGTACTTATTGTATAGCTGAAAACCACAAAGAATAGATTTTTGTGATCTTACCACAAAAAATAAATAAGTATGTGAAGTGATGGAGATGTTAATAACTTGGTTTATTGATTTTACAATCAAAACATCACATTACACCTTAATAAAGCTGAGAAAAATAAGTTACGTTGCTTGTCTCACTCCCAAAACTACCAAAACTCATCCAGAGGAGACTTCCCCTTCCATTCTCCAGCAATTAAAAACACATCACTGTCTCATTTAGCTCATTTTGTAATTGCACAGAGGACCCATGATGAAAACAAAGAACTGAAAAAATGTAATTTCAAGTCACATTTTATGAAATTTCCTTCATGTTTTTCTTCTTATTATTTATACACTTAAATTGTTCTAAAGGCTTTTATTTTTGAAGCCATCTTTTTTCTTTTTTTTTTTTTTTTGTCTTTTTCCGTGTCCAGCAACGGATCGCAACCCTCAGT